TCAGTTTCAAGTTTTCACACTCAACAACTCTAACACACGATAACAAGTTTCAAACTTTCCTTTAACCCGGTTGGAAAAGAATTATATACTAAACCAAACTAACCAACGCAGCTTACTAAACACCACAAATCATAAAATAACAGCATGACTAAGAAAAGAAAACCAACGGTACCCAAACCGGATTAACCCAGTTTAAAACTGGTTAATTTATTCTTTTGAAGACTATTATAAAGTCTAAGAAAGAAATAATAAAACACAAAAAAGTCGAAAGACAAACCCATAACAAAAACAATTTGATTTTTGAAAAAAGGACACAACCAACGGAACATAAGAAAGACCACCATAAACCCAACATAAAACGTTATCACATAACAGGACCTCTCACAGAAACCGCACGAAATCATACTCCCACTCCTGGCTAACCCACCAGAGAGGACGTCCTGAGCATGCTCTATAGCCGGCCTAACCCACCGCGCTACATCCACGCTTTGTGACCACACTTCTATTTTTAATAAGAGGTACTCAAGGGTGAGTAACTCTTCAAAATAACCGAACTAAAACAAAATGCTTTTGTGAAAACAACTAACCAAAATCATTATTAAAACACTGAACTAATAAAAATTTTATAAAATGTAAGTTATACTTTGCAGTATATAGATCAGCATACAACAACAAAGACGAACATCCAAAGACAAAATGACCCCACTACACTCGAAAAAGAATGGCCAACCACAACCAATATGCCGTCCACAATCACAACTCAAAGGATTTAGAGTACGACTTGACTTCGCAGAAAAGGAATTCATTGAATTAGACCAATGACCACCTCGATGTTCAAGTATACGTACAGATCCGAGTTACAAGGCATCCCCTCCACGCACAATCTCCACGCCATTCCCAGACGAGGTCGAACACAAAAGAAGTTCTCTACATAAAACAGAAAAACTCGTCATTGCAAACCATTCTGAAATCAGATTGATTTCATTGGGAAACACCGTCGTTGTCACAAGAAGACACAACGATCGATGTCCCTAACTCCAGCGTCCTGGAACTTCTCTAACAAGAGAAACCGGATAAGAGTACGATGTTCGCCAAAAACCAACGTCCATCATCCATCCTTTGAATTGCAGAAAGATAATTCTAAAAAACTCTGTAAAACCCGGATGGGTGGAACCTGATCTAAACTATATTTTATGATTGGATAAATTAGATATTTTACCACTGTAAAGTATTTAATATTAACCAATCATGATCCATCTAACTAACAACCCACTTATTTGTAAGTGCTGAAATTACTTATAATTTCAGCACCAGAGAGATTTGAATTTAACTTAGAAATTAGTTGTCTCTCCAAGAGAACTTCAGCAGCCGCAACAAACCAGTATACCCTAGATCTATTGAGCCTAGCAGAGACTAGTTAAACACCCTGAGACTAGAAAGTATAAGAGTAAGATTAGGATCGGTATTAGACTAAGAAGTTGCACGAATCTATCCGGCCGAAAATAAGATAGCGTGACGAGCAGACGGTGTACCCTATCCGAAATTACTCTATGAGTTAACCACATCGGTTTTAACTCAAAAGGTAGGAAGAAACTTTATAAAAACTAAAACACACCCGAAGACATAGTTAATCGCCACTTTGATTTATACAATTAGCAATAGTGCCAAGGCGTTCAATTTGAGCCCATCGCATCGAGTACTCTATACCCTGTCATGTTTAAAAACCAGCGTCTTTTTGATCAGCTCTCTGTTCAATTCTAGGTTCAGGTCGATAACAAATCTGACCGATTTCAATTAGAATTTGAGGACCTCATTCAAAACGGCCAATTGTTTTAAATGCGCACTAGTCCTTGAAACTCCTCTGTAATTCTCACAAACTGAATTTTCATAAAATTTCCGTGCAATAAAACTGTAAATAGCAAAATAACAGTTTTATAAACTTTTGTATGGTATTTATAATTGAAGATACAATTTTACCAAAATAATATTGAAGATAGTTTTTTTGGCTTGCATTATTTGATTTTCAGCATGCTTGCAAAATAAGAGAAATTATATTAAAAAGGCTACGCGAACTTGCGATATATTACGACTTCTAAGCAAGTTTTTTAAAAATTTTATTTCGGTCCATTTTAATTGTTGTTGCAAGTTTGATTTTTTTCGCCTAAAATTCAAAATACAACAAGACTGCTCGTATCAGGGAGAAGCCCTGATTGTTTTGATTGCCTTATAAGGTCTATGGAGCGGTATTAACAAGAAAATTAAAATGTAATAAAACAAAATTTTAAAAAAACATCAAAAAAATTTGATTTTTTTTTGTGAAAACATGCCCCCACACGTCATATTAAGTACAAAGTTATATATTTTGCTCCTATTAGCAAACCACTTATGGCATACAAGCTTCCTTCAACCAATTTGGAACGTTTTTTAAGACGAATTAAATCTCGCTTACGCGTTAATAGCGCGAAATCTATCGCGCGTTAATTGTCCCAAATTGGCTAAAATGGCAATCGGTAAATCCCCATAACTTCATCAAAAAGGTCACAGATTAAGATCCTAGATACTGATTAAAAATCGATTTACGGTAGCCGATTTAAATACGTAAATCGATTTAGAATGGATATAAACAGAGTCTTACAGTAAAACAAAATAGCAATATTGCCTAAGAAATCAATTTAAAATCAAAAAATGAACTTAATTTTATTATTGTTCCGACTTTCGATACGAAAGTAACGGATTATTTGTGCTCGGGTGGGTTTTTTCTTCAGACAAATTTCGACTTTTTACCTAGCCATTTTCGATGGGAGTTTTTTAATATCATTCAAAAGATATTGTTGTCCTGAGCTTAAGTGTGAAAAGATATTTCACCTGTGATCTTTTTTTGTAACGTTAATGGGGTTTAAAAATTGCCATTTCAGCCAATTTGGGACAATTAACGCGCGATATATTTTGCGCTATTAACGCATAAGCGGAGGTTTAATCCGTTTTAGAAATCGTTCCAAATTGGTTGAAAAAGCTTATTTGCCATAATTGATTCGTTACAAGGAGTACTGCTCCATAAACCTTAGAAGGCAGTCGGAACATTCAGAGCTTTGCCTTGATACGAGCAGTCGTGTTTATTTTGTTTCCAAGCTTGATCAAAATTTGTGCTCAATCAATAAAGAAAAATCTCTATCAGAGCAAGATACAGAGAGCAAGAGTCACTCGAGGAGATTTTTCTGTTCCAATTTTTGTAGCGAAAAGAAACGGAGTATTTGTACTCGGGGTAGGTTTTTTCTTCAGACAAATTTACATTTTATAACTAACCATTTTTGACGGATTTTTTTTGTCATTCAAAAAGCATTGTTGCGCTGAGCTCACATTTGAAACGACATTTCTCCTGTGATCATTTTTCGTAAAGTTATGGGGGTTTGAAGGTTGCCTATTTGGCCAATGTGGGACAGTTAACGCGCCATATAATTTGCGCTATTATCGCGTGAGCGGAGATTAATCCGTCTTGGAAATTGTTCCCAATTGGTTGAAGGAATTCATTTTTTGTATTTTTTACAATTAATTTTTCATGCTGTTACTGCTCGATAAATCATAAGAGGCAGTCGGAACATTCAGGGCTTCAACCTGATACGAGCAGTCGTGTTTTACTTTAAAAGATTTTGAGCTAAAGTGAATGCTTTGTGAAATTTGTAAATCTAAGTGCTTCCACGGTAATGAAAAGTAACTAACTGCAAGTTTTCTTAAAATTTTATGTTGAGTTTCTATATTCTAGGTGCCAAATGACAAATAATTAAAGTTCGCAATTCAGAGCAATTCCTTTTTATTGCAGAAAATTGTTATATTATTGATTATACTCATAGTTTTTTCAAGCCAAACATCATCACAAAAAAGGCTGAAAAGCAAACGTTTTGATTTTGTTTCCTATTTTCTCTATTGTTTGATTGATAATCAAGAAGTTGTAAAAATCAATTTTTTTCAGCTCTTTTTTTTACATCTGTAAACAAAATTGATTGCAATCCCTTTCTTGTCAGTACGGGCTACTTTTTGTCTTCAAGGAAACAATCAAAAACCAACAACAAATAGCTAGTAAAATCAACAAACAACCTGGACGGACTCAACCCTCTATCTATGGGTGGCTATTAAAGCTTCTAAACGCAGGAATGCCAGCGCCGTGAGCGATCGTGTTCCCAATGAAATAATCAGTGCACGACTGCAAAGAGTTGACCTCAAAAATCAATCGGTTCATAATCTCATCTAAGCTCAGATTGTTAATGTAAATACGCACGGGCTCAATCTTGATCAAGTTTATTGTAACTTATAAAACTAATTCATTTCAGTAATAAAATATTTACCTTTTAAAACAGAAAATCAGTCCCTCCAATTTGCGATCTTTGGACGGTTTATTGCAAGAGCATTGGTTTGTATTAAAGAGACAGATTTTTATGAAGTTTTTCTGATTTTTTTGAACTGATATTAATTTCTATCTAGTTTAATTAATTCTGCTTTCAGAAAATTCGGGGCATAAGCAAATCTCAAAGAGCTGAATAACTCATTTGCTGGTAGGTTCCTTGGTCAATCAGTGGCTAAAATTCGTAATATCCTAAACAGTCAAAATTTTGACCAAAAATATGCAATCCCGTTGTTTCTGAAATCTAATTGTTTTTTCTTTTACTGGTCAGAAGAAATTTAATTTCTGATAGTTTGTTCTTTCTTTGGTATTTTGAAGCAAACATTGCTGGGCAATGGTTGTTTCTAGTTCAATCAAATGCGCTAAGCTTGGTTCTTCACAGCTTACTGATAACTTGTCAGATTTTTGTTTGAACAATTTTGTCTAGACTTTATCATTATCAGTTTTTGTCAAATCAATTTAAGTTAAGAAAAGTTTTTTCTCATTCTTTTTCCCCGTTTTTTTATTGATTACTGCGACAAAAAAATTGACTACAGAGCTATCGTGGAGCTGAATAAAAATCTTCAAAAATTGAAGAGTGTTGTTTTTGATCACTTAGACCTACAAGTGGGTTCGTATAGCAGCACATATGATCTGATGGTTCCTATGATGTAACAGCAGAAAAAAACGAAAGGAGTCCACAGCAGTCGTTTGTACAAGGACTCCACAGCTTCCAGGGTCTGGATCACCTCTTGACTGGCGCCTCTTCGTCTACATTGGTACTCTTTGTACCACAGAACTAATCGCAGTGCGATGTAGGAGCCAATCATGATTACTTCAGTCAGAATCTCCCAAAGTTTTCCTGAAAAATATTGCGAAATTTGAATTAGCCATTTTTATTATTACTCAGATTTTTCTCAGCATTGCTGAGCCGATTTTTAGGATCGTTTTAAAAGCAAAAGAGCAAACAAAAAATAAATTGTTGAAAATATACAGAAAACATGAGGGAAGAAAACACTTTTTAAATTTTTTTTTCAAGCTATGTATAACTGATGATCCCTATGTATAACTAATGATCCTTATTTATATATATTGTTCCCTAGGTATAACCAATGATCCCTATGTATAAGTAATGATCCTTATGTATAACCAATGAAACCTATGTATAACCAATGATCCTTATGTATAACCAATTATCCCTATGTATAGCAAATGATCCTTGCGTATATTCAATGACCCCTCTGCATAACTAAAGATCCCTATGAAATATGAATGAGGTAAGACTCATGGTCCCTATGTCTAACTTATGATCTTCATGTATGACTAATGATCCCTATGTATAAATAATGATCGTGTGTACAAATATTAATCCCTAATGATCTTTTTGCATCAATTACAATCTTTGCTCATAACCATTGATCCCTATAAAAACTGACAATCACTACGTAAATCTTATGATCTCTTTGTATAACCAATGATCCCCATGTGCAACTAATGATCCATACGTACAACTAATGATCCCTGAGTATAACTTATGACCACAACTATAAATCCTATGTATAACTAAGGATCTCCACGTATAAACAATCATCTGTATGTTTAATTAATGATCCCTATGTACATCTAATGATCCCTAGTTGAAGCCATTGATCTCTTTGTGTACCTAATGGTCCCTATGCATAATCAATCACCCATATATTTAACCACTGATCCCAAAGTAAAACTAATGATCCAAAAAATTTCAAATTTATCCTCCATGAGTGTCAACTGATCCCAATGTAAAAACGTAGTGATAAACGTTAATGATCCTTGTAAATATTTAATGATATCTAAGTATATCTTTTGGACCCTTTTTCTATCTAATGATCATTATGTATAACAAAAATCTTAATCTGAAATTTTGTTCCAAACAATTTCCAAGTAATTTTTTTTCCCGAAGAGATTCTAATGTGAAACTTTTTACCAATTGATCTACCAGAAGTTGATATACCAGAAGTTTCGAGGGTAATAATCCTAAATATTATTTTGTGTACGATGAATACGAATGCAGTCCCTACGTAGAGTGAATTTTTCTTTTCCGCTACCGATTCTGGTATATAAATGTAGAGCATAGTATTTAAGTTTCAATGCTCCAAGATGTAGCTAGCTAGATAGATATATACCTAGATACAGTGATAGTTAGATGAAACGAGCGAGAGAGGGAGAGAAAGAAAGAGAAAAATAGAGATAGATAGAGAGAGAGAGAGAGATCTCAATCTAAAATTTTGTACAGAACAGTTTCAAAAGTAAATGGCAAAAACCCCAAATGTTATTTTGTGTAGAAAGAAAACAAATTCAGTTAAAATGTAGAGGGAATTTTTTTGGAAAAAAGAGAGAGAGAAAGACGCAGAGAGAAGAGAGAGAGAGAGAGAGAGAGAAAGAGAAAGAGAAAAAGATGGATGGATAGATAGATAGAGAGAGAGAGAGAGAGAAAAAAGAGATAGAGACAGAGAGAATAGAGAGAGAGAAAAGAGAAGCAGAGAGAGAGAGAGAGAGAAAGAGAGAGAGAGAAAGAGCTCCACATACACTGAAACTACATTCACGAAAAATTATGTTTCAACCTTTCTGGGTGTAACCAATTGAATTGTACACACATGTAATTTGTAGGTATGTACTGATGTATGTATGTTCGAATATGATGTATGAAGATGATAGTTTGTTTATAAGTTTGGCATATATACATGAGTCATGATATACAAGTATGCTTTCATTTACATAATGTCTGTAAGTTGGTGTTTACGTTTGTATATATTGACGTGTAAGTTGTATGCATGTATGTGGGTTGATGTGTGTATGATGTATATTAGGTGTGTATACATTAAAAGTTTGCATGTCGGTAAATCCAAAACTAATTTAATTATTTACATTTGTCTATATTTCTTTTATTTGACTCGTAACTATGTACGTATGTATGGATATGTGTAAATACGTAGTCATTTTAATTTTTTATTCGGTACTCTTTTACACGTGTTTCGAAGCAATTTCAGGTACATGACCCAATCTGATTGAAAGCTAAATTCAATTTCGATAAAAAAGCCGGTCCTATATGGTCCAGAACATTCTAAAATACTTGACCAGATACTCTGGATGAGCTAAATTATATGTTTGTTTGTGTGTCAGTACAAATTGTGTGTGCGTTTGTTCTTATGTTTATACATGTTTGTGTAAGCAATTGTGAATTTGCCTGTTTATACGTAATTTTTGATAAACGAGTGCGGTCAGAGAAACAATTTCAGACGCAAAACCATAATCATAAGTGTAGTTTTATCTCAAAGAACTTGTACTTTTTGTCTTTAATTTTCTGAAATGGTTTAACATTCTTTCATAGGAACCAGTTTTTTGTGAATCTTGTCATGTTTTTGTCTTAAATTGATTTGAACTCCACTCATTGTTGAAATTGTGTATGAAGCCGTTGTACGTGGGTATGCATTGTCTGTGGGTGTTTTAAGTGTTTTCTTTTACGTTTTTCTGTGTGCCTTCTTATTAATGTCGATAATGAACTAATTGGCGACTTGTACTTGTAACCTGAAAACTAACGAATCCAATTCAAAATAAATATTTTCACGGTTTGTCTGGAAGATGCAGGGTTCCAATAAAAGGTATTTTAGCACCAATTTTGTGTCAGAAACATTGTATATTCAATTATTGGGGTATGTTTATTTGTGTGTTCGTGTGCTTGTTTGTGTTTGAATTTTTTTCAAAAATACTCAAATAAATTTTTGAATGTTTAGTTCTGGAAAAAACTTTCATGGTTGTAATTTGTTATTCGATTAAACAATAAACATGCAACTTATTGCAATAATTATTGATATGACTAGATCTCAAATTCAATTAAGTTTTTTTTGGTGGTTTTTCTGGGAAAAATTGTGAAAACTTCTCTACAAACTGTAAATGAACAACGCAGTCCAGATAATTCATTTGTATGTAAGTACTTGTTCACGTATATGTGAAAAGTTTTGTGTTTGAAAATATGTAATGAGCGTATGTGTATGTTTGTTTGTTATTACTGCGTGTTCGTTTGCATACTTGATTGTATTTCTATGTAGGCTTAATTATTTTTCTGTATAAACATACAGTCATTTATATGTTCAAACAAACATCTTTGGACGCTCATTTACCATATATTGCTAGAATTACAAGCATCAACAGCAATCGACCCCTTTTTAAACCATTTGGCTGAAATCATCAAGAGTTTTTCACAAGATACTTTATACTGACAACAATTGTAGCATGTACTCCAAAGGTACGTTTGTTAAGCTGTGTATATGTTTGCATAATTATGTAGAGTGAGTTTGTATTTCTGTAAGTTATGTCCGTGTGTTGGTTTAATTTTAAGTAATTAAATTGTTCTTTGTGTGTTTGTTTAAAGAGATAAATTTTTGAATGGGTAATCTGGCATATTCTGTTCACAAACTCAGCTGTCTTTTCTTCAGCGTTTTCCGCTAGGTTCACCTCCTTTAACAAGTAGGCATGGACTTTCTTAATCATTATGGGGCCTTGCTCAAAAGCATCTGCACCCAATGCCGCTACTCGAGGACTTATATGTTTTTTCACAAGATACTTTATACTGACAACACTTGTAGCATGTACTCCAAAGGTACGTTCATTAAGCTGTGTTTATGTTTGCATATTTGTGTAGAGTGAGTTTGTATTTCTGTAAGTTATGTCCGTGTGTTGGTTTAATTTTAAGTAATTAAATTGTTCTTTGTGTGTTTGTTTAATGGTATTTCTTCTATCATGCTTAATAAAACAACTTGAAACTTATAGCTGCTTGTTGAAAATTAGCTTGTGTTTGAACTGTAAAATGTTTCTGTACCTGAGTTGCCTAGAAGGATGAAAACAATAGTTCTAGAAATTATGCGTTTGAAAGCGCTTGTGTGTGTGTTTGAGCATGATATTTAAGTTGTTTTTTTGTTTGTGTGTATATGTGTAAGTAAAGAAGATTGCATCATGTAAGTTTGTCTGTTTAGAAAAGTAACAATAGTTAAATTATAACTGTAACTCAAATCAATTCAATTTTAGGTCCGGAATTGTCAGGTAATCCCAGAAAAAATCAACTCAAGCCGTTTTGAAAAATAAACATTTTTTCCAGAAAAATCATTTTTGAGCTGTTTTGCAAAATAACCTATTTTTCTAGAAAAACTAGTTTTTGGTTTCTTTGTTGTTTCTGTACTTTGAACTATCCTTTATTGACTAAAAGTTTGCAAACTGAGGATAACTTTTTAAAGACTAAAATTTTCCATTGTTTTGCTTTTTGTTGTTTTATCATGAGCATGAAAATTTTCGCTGCTCAAATTTTCCAATAATTACAAATAGTTATGAAACCAGATAATAAACTGCAGCCCAAAAAAGGCAGCCCAAAACGCAAGAGAGACTTTAAAGTCTTTCACATAGGCTCCAAGTGTATAAGATATTGTTCCACTCTGATCAATTTTTTCTTTTATGGTGCAGTTGAGGTTTATCTTCATCGGTTTTTGGGTGTCCGCTGACTGCACCAAGGAATTACTTGACGCAAAGTAGCCGGAGCCGAAGTATCCGGGAATGGAGTAACAGGAGGCGGAACTGGTGACTCCATTCCTCAGGCCGAATCTAAGTTGATCCAAATTGATTCTGCGCTGGAAGAGCGCACTCACAAACCCGATTGAACAGCAATTGTCCCGGGAGATGAACAAATCCAGCCGTTCAATTACCATTAGTTTGGCTGTATCCTCTGAATCGGTAAAATAGTCTCTGTTGGTAAAAAGACAATTCTTCTCTCATATGCTTTGATGATATCTTTTAAATGATTTAGGTATTTAATTGGAACAATTGTATGAACCATAG